ATCGTGACGTTTGTGACAACATGGATGGATTTTAAGATTATTATGCTAAGCAAAATAAGTTACACAGAAAAAGTCAAGAACCATATGATTTCATTGATATGTGGGATATAAAATTGAAAGAAACAAATGAACAAGACAAACAGAGAGATTGGATTAAAATAAGATTGCATTTTGTTTTGTTTTGTTTTCTTTGGCAAGAAGACTTCGTGGGTGATGGTATGTTTTTCCATCAGAAGGCATAATATATGTCCATTGTCATTATTTTTGTCATCCTAGTTGCCATTGAAAGCTACCAGCCCAATGTAATATCTATTGGTCATTTTGATTGTAGCTTATATTCATTTAGATTCCACAGGAAGATCTCATGTGACTAACATTCCTCCAGTTCTTTTTTTTTTAATGTTACTTTATTTATTTTTTTTATTGTTAGTTCTTTCATGTCAGCTTACCTACAGCCTTTAAACTTGAAGAACAGTTTGATCAGATATAAAACCATTGACTCACATTTTATTGCCTTGAGTATCTTCAGTACTTCAAGGCATTGGCTTCTGTTATAAACCACTTTTGTTGACAAGTCTGACAACAATCTGATTTTCTTGGCCTTTTGAGTGACATGATTTTTTGTATTTTTTTCCCCTGAGTAACCAAAGGTGTTCTGTTTGTTTTTCTTTAAAGTTTAGCAGATTTACTATAATTTATATTGAGGTGGGTTATTCTGGGTCAGTTTTCCCAGGCACTCATTATATTCAACATTAATTTCAGGAAAGTTTTCTTAAATCATAGTTTTAGTATTTGCTCTTATCCATTATTTATTTTCTTCTCCAAGGTCTCCTTTCATATGCATATTGCGCTTTCTTTGCTTGTATTCTATATTTTTCACTTTCTTTCAAAATATTTTTAGCACTCTAAGAGCATACAACAAAAGGCACATCTTTAGTGTTACACTTTGTTTAGTTTTAATTAATACATACAACTATGTAGCCTCTACTCTCCCAAGATATAGAGTGTCTGCAACACCTCAGGAAGTTCCCTCATGCCCTTTCCACAAAATAGTCCTTTCCAGTCTCAGTCAAACAATGTTTTGATGGCTTCTGCACACAAAAATTTTGTCTACTCTAGAATTTCAAATAAATTTGTGTTCGTTTTTTTTTTTTAATTTAAGACATTTTTCTATTTTCCATGTTCAATTTATGTTAAGGTATGTGTTTATTCACTCTTCTGGCCCTTCTAATTTAGCCTTGATTTCTGAAATTCCTTTCTCTTTTATTTCAAATTCTTTCCTGTGTTCTGTTTACATCTCTTTCTATTCCCAAATTTCATTGCTTCTAATTTTTCCCCAATTCTGATTTATGTTGTTGTTCTCTTGAAATTTTTATCATTTTTACAATTCCTTTAGCTCATTTTGAAATACTAGATTTTAGTTTCATGTTGGCATGATTTTTTAGTATGTTTGTATCTAACTACTATTAAAGTGGTTTAGGTCATTGCTTTCCTTTTCATTGATTCAACTTTTAATATTATGAACTCATCTTTATATCTCCAGCAACCACCTAACATAGTGCCTTTCAACAACAAGCACTTGATAAATATATATTTCATTGAACTGAAACCTATTTGATTGTGATCAATATAAGATTTTTTTACCACCTTGTGGTGAAAGCGATATCTAATCCCATAAAACCTCGACCTGTGGGCCAAGATGTACAAATGACAGACCTAACAGGAACCTTAAAGCTCTTGCTCAACTACTTTATTAATAATTCCATTTTTATAAACAACTTACCCAAGGTTATACAGACATTTAGTCACAAAACTGAGGCTAAATCCCTGGTTTTCTGACTCTTAGTAGAGTGCTCTTTATATCATGCAGTCTCAAAGTAAAGAAAAATGTGTTTCTATACAATATAAAATTTGTACAGATGTTGCATACCTACTTTCTGTATTTTTTTCAGTCTCTATCAATTTTCTCACCTGTATAATATTCACCCAAACTTGTGGGTAGACGGTTCCTTTAAGCAGTGGTACAGAGAGCAAGAACTAAGAAAGGAGGAGTAATGTTAAATCACACTCAAAGACAAGGAGGCCCCTTTTTATCCTCTGTCCTCCCCCAACTGCGAGCATTGGTAAAGCAGCAGGCGAAGCATGATTGGCCGGCTTCCTCTGCCAGACTTATACAGATTCCAAGGCCACACCAGAGGTCGTAATTGAGAGCTTTGCTATCAGTGCAGCCCAGAAGGAGTTTTGTCAACAGAAGGCAGCATCCTAGACATAACAGAAGCTGTTCAAACAGAAATAAAGAATAGAGTGAAAGGTTTTCTTCTTTGCAACCACTGGTTCTCAATATTATGGACTGAGAGAAATAATATGAAATAACAAAGTATTGTTTGTTATATAATATAACTGATTATATTACATAATTATATATCTGTTGTAAAGAGTTGGAAGAACAGCACAGTCACTGGGCAAGGCTCCAGAAAGCAATGGTGAGGAGACTGGTGGATTACCCCAGCTAGTAGCAGTGTTGGAGGAATTCTCTTTCATTTTATTCCTGAACTGCTAAACTCAGGCTTGTGAAAGGTTTTTATCAGGTGGAGTGAATAAAAGTAAACACAGAGAAAATGAATTAAAAGGAATTATAAAATTAAAGATTATTTATAACAAGCCAGTCTGTTTTAAAAGAGATACTAAAGGATGCTGCAATGACAAAAACAAAATTCCATTAATTTCAGCCCCTTTCATTCAGATGTAATCATAACTTATGATACTCAAAGTTGGAAAAATTTGCTTCAAGAAGAAAAAAGGTCTTTACGAACATAAATTGTCTGTTATATTTATTTGAATACTTTTAAAAATATAGTAAATAATCAATTGTAAAATCGAGCCAACATGTACAACAAGCCAAAACTTACACTATACACTATAGAATGGTGCCCTTCAACTTTAATGTGCAGAATAATTACTTGTGATCATGTTAAAATGCAGATTCTGATGCAGTAGTTGCAGGTGGTATTCAAGATTCTTCATTTTTAACCAATTCCCAGGTGGTGCTGTCAGATCTTAGCCAGCACTTTGGGCTGCAAGAGACCTAAGCTATGCTGTAATATCAGCTTCACATTAGGGGCTTGTGCAACTCAAGGAGATCACTTAGTAGGGATTATTCTAATCACATAACACTTGATACTGTTTATTTCAACAAACATCCATGGAGCACCTGCTGCATACCAGGTGATTGAAAGAGAAAATGTAAACCTGGTTCTTTGGTCTAAAGGAACTCCTGGGCAGGGGCTGGAGCTGACGGAGGATGTTGATATGATGTTGACATTAGTAGCTGTCCTGTTGGCAAACAATAACGCAACAGGAGCTATAAGAGAAGCCATAGCACAGCTGCTATGAACGCATCAGAAAAGGGAACAGTAACTCTGGCTGGACAAGAGCATGTGACTCCTCAGGAGTTTGAACAGATGCAACCAAGTGCCTTTTGTAAGGTACTTACATGGATCTGAGTAGAAGGGGCTAAATCTGAGAGAACAAACTGAGCTTAAAGTAGATTATTCTAGTCTTGATAGTACATGCAGCAAAATCACAAACCAGATGAGGGGCCCAACTCTGAGATCAACCCAACAGCTTCTCTGTGGAAGGAGGAGGATTAAAGCAGAGGAGTGTTTGGACCAGAAATAACTCAATAAGAATATTATGCTAGCTTGGAAGATAATCAACCACAGAGATGTTCAAACACACACTGTGCCTTGCATGTTGCAGGTACTCACAAAATCTTGTTCAAATATTTTAATTAATAGTTTTAGTTCTCAGTCTGTGAATGTGCCCCCAAAGCTAAATACTTCTTAGTGCCACATAAGCAGAAGTGGCAGCATGTTTTTTTTACCTCTCTTACATTTGACACAGTGGAATATTAATAATACCCACCAATTTCTCAGTACATATACTGTAGTTTGACTAGTTATTTGTCAACTCTATGAAAATATTATTTTCCACAAATGTGTCCTATCTCACCTCCTTTTATCAGTCTAAAATTGTAGATTCCTGTTATTAGCTACCACCAAATAAAGATGTTACAATGGAAGAAAATTCTTAAATCTCATAGAAAGCCAGAGCATTTGAAGTCCCCGAGACAGAATATTTTCCTACCCAACAGTTATTAACTTGCAAAAAAGAAAAGCCTGAGGAAATTCATTTTTTATCTCCAGAAATCTTAGGTTAGGTATCTTTTTTCTTTTTTGTTTCTTTTAACATTTCCTAGAAAGGAACCCTAAAGAGAAACAATTTAGAGGGCTTAATTGTATCCCACATATGTAGATGTTTCTCTAAATCAGGCATTATTGAGGCAAGGAAATTTCTAGTCTGATTCCTGGGATTATGCTGGAAGGTCAGTAAGCATATGTCAGTGTTGAGCTAATTCTAATACCTATAGTAAAATGTGCATGTGAGTATTTCCTTGCTGATATATTTTGTCCATATACAGTGCTAATGGTATGGGCCTTCTTGTCATTTATCTTCTAAATCTGTGTGGAATATTATTCTAAACTCTTTTTTTCTTAGGTGTGTATTTTTTGCTTTGATGAATAGCCATAGACCTGGGAAGAGTCCATCCCCATTACAGATTTACAGCCTCATTTTCCTTGTGGACTGTTCTGATGCTAATGTGATTGGGTTTACCCATGAGTTTCAGGAAGTCTACTAGAGCAATCATAGGTTTCTCTAGAGCTGCAGTGGTTCCAATTCCTGCAGAATGTTCTTCATTTGGAAACAAAGACTTTATAGAGACTTTATAGAGATGCAAATAATTAGTTTCTGGTTTACTCTGGCTGGCTACTCTGATAGAGCCTTTTCAAAGTTGGCAGAATAGGTAGGACTGGTATATCACCCAATTCTCCTAGATACTGTACATATTGGTGGACTAGTACACCTGAAACAACAAGGAAGGGTCTGGATGATTAGCTCTTTTTCAGGTGTGATTTTCTTGTCTCATCTCTGTTCCTTCTCCTCCAGGAGACATGGGTTTCCTGAGGCAAGTGTGACCCTGGAGTCCAGCCTTCCATCCTGACGTCCAGTTGGTGAGGGAAAACACCATGGATGGTATAATTGAACAGAAGAGTGTGCTGGTGCACAGTAAAATCAGTGATGCTGGCAAAAGAAATGGCCTAATTAGCACCAAAAACTTCATGGCTGAGAGCAGAGATGGGCTTGTGTCTGTTTATCCAGCACCCCAGTACCAGAGCTGCCAGGTGGTGGGCAGCACAGCATCAGCCAACCTGGACAGAGGCAGGAATGAGCCAATCCAGCAACTGCTAGACCCCAATACCCTTCAGCAGTCAGTGGAATCCCACTACCATCCCAACATCATCCTCTACTCGGAGGGTGTGCTGCACTCCTGGGGGGATAGTGTGGCTGCAGACTGTTGCGAGACCACCTTCATCGAGGACCAGTCACCCACAAAAGAGAGCCTACAGTACCCCGATGGAAAGTTCATTGACCTCTCAGCTGATGACATCAAAATCCACACCCTCTCCTATGATGTGGAGGAGGAAGAGGAATTCCAGGAGCTGGAGGTCAGAGGCTGTGTTTGTCGTAGGCCTTCGGAAATTGGGGTGTGGGGATTTGGTGAGAACACATGAGTGTCTGGTATAAGTTAGGGAATGAAACTAGTGTGTAAAAATGCGAAGTAACTGAAGCATTCTTGGCGCCTGTTAACTCTTGAATATTTGTGGAAGGTGGAAGGAGTGGAGAGAGACTAGACAATCAAAACCCAGTGAGGGCTTCAGCAAGGATTCTGATCAGAGATGACCCAAGGTAACAGCTGTCGGGATGGGGCTATAGATGGATTTAAAGGTTGCCAGTGCTGGCAAGTCACTTGGGGACTCCCAATAATACTCCACCCACAGGAGATAGGGGTCACTGGCAAAAGCGAGCAAGGTGAGAGAGGGGCATGTGGTTCTAGGGCCACACAAAACTAGAAATGCATGTGAGGGGACAATTTGGGAAGTCTTTTTGTTGCCATATATGTTTGGTTTCCTTAATTTGGCATTCCAAAGAAATCATTGGTATGGCTAAACCTGCTGAAAGAAATAGTAGAAATCGATTTCCTAAAGAGAAGATGAGTTGAATTATTGCAGGAATCACTTCTTCAGTA